CTGTTTTAGTCTTAAAAAAATGATGACCAGGATTTACTAAAGACATGCAATGAACGAATGAGTGATGCAAGGGGGATTGTGCAAAACTCATGAGAGCGGAGTATTAAAATTAATCTTGCAACAAGATTTACCACATTCATTCATTTTCCTTCAGCTTAGTCCCTTATTTTTCAGAGGTCACCACAGAGGAATGAAACGCAAAGTATTCCAGCATATGTTTTATGCAGCAGATGCCCTTCCAGCCTCAACCCAGTACTGGGAAACACCCATACACTGTCGCATGCACACATTCACTCTCATAGTATATGGCCAATTTAGCATATTCAATTCACCTATAGTGCATGTCTTTGGACTGTGGGGGAAACCAAAGCACCCGGAGGAAACCCACATGAACACAGAGAGAACATGCTAACTTCACACAGAAATTCCAACTGGTCCAGTCAGGGCTCAAACCAGAGACTTTCTTGCAGTGAGGTGACAGTGCTAACCACTGAGCCAATTTATTTGCCCAGTCAACCTATTAAAGGGATGGTTCACATAAAAGTTTTCTCACTATTTACTCATTATTAAGTGGCTGGAAATGTAGCTTCATCCTTATTGAACACAAAACAAAAAATTGTGAAGAACTGAACAATTCCACTGTAACGCATTACACAACTACATGTTCCAATGTGATTATGTTTCTTACATTACAAATAAAGTTTTTAAAAGAAAAAAATGTTTCATTTAAATCAATTTTTCTGTTGCAACGTCAGTTAATAAGCATGCACTTTTAAATTTTTGGAGAATGTGAACAAAAATGGTTGCTGTTGAGAGGGGCTGCTACAGACTGGAAATACAAAGTGGAAATACAGACTTTGACTTCATTGAGCATAAAAACTAAAATATTGCTGTGGAATGCAGTCTAAAGAGCTTTTGACAGTTTTTAACTCAACCAGCAACTTGTTCAAGCACTTGATTAGAAAGCAACCTAGGACAATACTCATCACCAAGGAGGACACTGGCATCCTAAAACACAGTGGCCCAACTCAGCCTAAACAAGCTAAATTGAATTTTTTCTGCAGCATCTGGAGTAAAGCAATCTTCGGAATGTGAAAAGAAGCGTAGCTGCTTATAGGCCCGTTCACATATCACGTCTTTTGCACGCGTGTGCGTATTAGGCGCATTTCCCAGGCGCTCCCATTTGAAAACCGCAAGACACATGACAAGAACTGAGAGAACAGCTTCTTTGCAATATACACATTTAGGTAGACTAATTACCTCAGACAAACAGAACACCCAAACACTGCAGTGCTTTTTCATACTATGGATGTCAATAGTTACAGCTATCCAGTTTTCTTCTAAATGCCTTCTTTTGTGTTTTATTGTAGTTAATGTACTTTTTTTGTATCTGATAAAATGTTGCAGTTTTAAATGTATGCAAATGTATGTATAGCTACTGACATCCATAGTACCAAAAATAATACTATGAAGGTCAATGGCTTCTGATTTCCAAAATATCTTTTTTGAGATATTTTAAAATCAGTTGGTAGTGCTGTCGCCTCACAGCAATAAGGTTGCTAGTTCGAGTTGGCGTTTCTGTGTGGAGTTTGCATGTTCTCCCTGCGTTCACCTGGGTTTCCTCCAGGTGTTCCGGTTTCCCCTACAGTCCAAAGACATGCGGTACAGGTGAATTGGGTAGACTAAATTGTCCGTAGTGTATGAGTGTAAATGAGTGTGTGTGGATGTTTCCCAGAGATGGGTTGCAGCTGGAAGGGCATCCGCTGCATGAAACATGTGCTTAATAAGTTGGCGGTTCATTTCGCTGTGGCGATCCCAGATTAATAAAGGGACTAAGCCGAAAAGAAAATGAATGACTGAATAAAACTGGTTTGAAACAATCAAATGATGTCAGGCTTTTCATTATTGGGTGAATTATTTCTGAACATTTGACCTTTTGTGCATAGGTTGTCATTGCAACAAAAAAACTTTAAATTTACTTCAAGAGTTCACACTTTGATAATGTTTGACTATTTTAGCAGGTTTGGCATGCTGTCCCGGGTGAGAACTCTGAGCACAGAGATAGATGATGTTCGTGATTAGTGATAGAGATCAGCTTTAGTCAATCCTATTGCGTGCTTCTCTCAAAATTAGTTTGTGAAACTTGTGAAGTTGAAGTGTCAGGAACACAATTTAACTAAAGAGATTGGTCAGAAAAGCATGTCTCATGCCTTTATGTGGCTGTGATGTTGTTTTATCGTCTTGCAAACTAATTTGCACTTCTTAGTAGATTTGTTTTTCATTATATATATAAAAGAGCTGCTGCATCTGTGTTTTGTAATTTGAGCGTTGTTAGAAGATCACTTGCAGAACTTTACACTCCCTTGCCTTTATGGGATTACACACACTAATTTGCCCTGCTTTTATATTATCTGGCCTATTATGTGAAGTAAAGTCGACTTTGTACTTTAAAACATGTAGGCCTGTCATGATTATCAATAAATCACTCGATTATGGTTTTTCAATCTGACAATTATTTAAGACAACCACAATAATCAAAGTGAGGTTCAAATTTAAATTTTTTTTAGGTCTAATCATATTACTGTTATTATTATATCAGGTAATACTATAACATATTAATTTATTTTCAAAGCAAGAAGTCTTTAAGGGCAATTATTATCAACTATTGCTAAATTTCAATCACATTTAGCCATCCTATTAAAGAAAAATGGTATATCCTGTTGCATCACATTGGCCTATTTTCTAAATTTAATTTGCCAACAAACATTGGCTTAATCTGCAAGTTAGAATAACTAAACAGAATAAAAGGGATAGATAAAAATCTGTCATCATTTACTCACCCTTGACTTGTTCATTACCAGTTTGATTTTTTAACACACACAAAAAAGATATTTTGAACAATGTTGGAAACCGGTAACCATTGGTTTTTATAGTTTTTACTACTATGGATATCAATGCTCGCAGGTTTCCAACATTATTCAGAATATCTTCTTTTAAATTCTAAAAGAAATCTAAAAAAAATCACTGGGGAGATCTTTTACTTTCAGCAGCTTTCTAGCGTGCACTTTCATAAAATATGTGTCTGAGCAAGTCTCTGACAGTATAATATGGCTTAACATTATAGCCTTTGTCTTTCATGTGGTGTTATGAATAGGGCGGCACGGTGGCGCAGTGGGTAGCACAATCGCCTCACAGCAAGAAGATCACTGGTTCAAGCCTCTGCTAAATCAGTTGGCATTTCTGTGTGGAGTTTGCATGTTCTCCCTGTGTTCGCTTGGGTTTCCTCCGGGTGCTCTGGTTTTCCTCACATATCCAAAACATGTGGTACAGGTGAACTGGGTAGGCTAAATTGTCCGCAGTGTATGTGTGTGAATGAGCGTGATGGATGGTTTCTAGTGATGGATTGCAGCTAGAAGGGCATCCGCTGTGTAAAACATATTAGATTTGTTGGTGGTTAATTCCGCTGTGGCCACCCCAGATAAATAAAGGGACTAAACCGAAAAGAAAATGAATGAATAAATGTTATGAATAACTTCATATGAATCTGTTTTCTAAGGACGTATGCATAATTTCTGCACTAATATTGTTTCATTTTACTAGATTGTGCAGTGATCAACGTGTTGACTGCATTTATTTAGCAATAAAATTAGCTTGGGTGCTAATGTTGCTTTATTAACGAAAATGAAAGTGTTGACAATGCATTTGTTTTGCACTAAAGTTAGTCATTGCTTATGTTGCATTGCTTTTGCAATGTGTTATGAGCTGTCAAGCAGCATGTGTATATATTTCCTGCAAATAAATCGCAAAATTGTGGCGTTGCAAAACATTTGCATCTTGTTTTGTTGATAATGTCACCAACGATTAGTTCACGTCGACTTTGATAACATAAACATTAACTTCCAAAAATCTAAAGGCATTCAACCCCTACTAGGGATATGAAAAGTACTGATTTAAGAACCAATCAGTAATCTTATTTAAAAATGTACTTTTCACACTTGAGCACTAACACTGTTCATTTTTTAAAAGCCACGTCTCTCAAAGGATCTGTCTATGAACAGATATGAGTGAGTAAGATTTTAAACACTCCAGTGTTTGTGTATTTGTGCACTGTAAAACTGTCAACTTTATCAAATCAAATGAGAGTAGTTAACTCAAAACCTATTGGGTTTTACAGTACTCAGTTGGTTTGAATTCTCTTCATTTACTTCATTTACTGGGTTTTACTGTGTTCAAATTGCTTCATTTTCTCAAATAGATTATTTTCAAAGTACTCATTAGAATTAGTTTTTGAACTGAAATGGTTTGGTGCAATCGGTTTCCTCAAATGGTTTAAGTTACCTTAACTTATTGGGTTTTACAGTGTGTAAGGCCTTTAGTGAAGAGCGATGATCATTGTAGCCAATAACACTCATACACAAGCACTCAACTGTTGAGCGCATGTATACAATGGCCAGTCAGCAGTTCAAGAATCCAATTAGTGGTGCTTAAAAAATGCAAACAGGAAAAACTGCTAATATTGTACTTTTTCACATTTTAGTACCAGCTTGGTAATTGAATTCGGTACTTCTGACATGCCTAATCTTGACACACCTAATAAGCCCACAAAATCATTTCATTCTGCAGGGCCTTTTCAAATGCTATGAATAACACTACATGCCCTGTTTTACTGGAAAATATGTTTTACTTGAGCTAACTGGATATTTACAAGATCATAACAAGATTGTCTCATATTTCACGGAGGAATTTTTGATATGCGATAACATTTGTGTAGTTTTACTCAGGAAAAGCCAGCCAAAAGTCAAATTTCTGTCACCAAAGACAAAAGAGCCAGTGATAAATTCATAACCGTTATCTTTGACCTGATAAAGCTGACTTTCATAGGACGAAATTAAATTAGAGTTTTTCCCCTGCTCACTTGCATCGCATCAACTGTGTGATGGAATTGGCAGATCATGGCACACAAAAATGGCACATTTGAGCAGACACAAATCCGAAGGGCATTTCTTTTTTTCTTTTTTATTTCCTGTCCATCCATGAAGACATTGCACCATACATAAATAATTATGCTGTAAAAATGACTCAGTATTTACAAGTATTCCATATAATACGTTTATATAAAACTTTATATTAAATTTAGATAGATTACATTTGGGATGGTGGCTGCGGGTCTCTGAGAGTTCGTATTGAGTTTGTGTTTGTTTGTTGTTTATCCACCTTTTTCCACACGTGATGATTGTGTTCTAAATTATGGGTTGCACTTCTAGCTTTAGGGATTTTCAAAGGAATTTTGAAATTCCTTTATTATATTCATATTCCAATATTCATAGTAAAAACTGTGGAAGAGGTATGTCTGGTTTTGTGCTTTATTTTTTATACTTGATAGAAAATTATGCTTTTATTTATATTATTTTAACACAAGCATGTCTGTCAATGCTCCTTTGAGTTCACTGTCTCTCAGAATTCACTACAGTAAAGTAATAGTCAATATACACCCATTATATTGCTGTGAGAAGTCATTTGGGGGTTAGTCGTGGTCTACTTAAAATTTTTTTCTTAAATATTTGATAGATGAACCATAAAGAGAATAACAGCACCTCAAAAACTATTTTTAAAAACACTTAATTTAAAGGAAGTGACTCCCATAGCTAACTCAAAGCATCATTGTGGTGTAGGAAAAAGGTGGATTGGTTATCTGTGGTTGTTGAGTAAAATCTCCAGCCAGCATGGACACGATGTGATGAACTGTCTGGAATAGCACGGTCCCCAACCCTTGGCAAAACTGATCCTCACACTGTTCGGGTCGTATGGCCCTTCCGGGTGTACCGGATGACTGGCCGGTTGCATTTGGCACGACTTCTCATAGTCAAACACCTTTATGGAGTAGCCTGGCATTACTCTCCTCACCGTCAGACTCAGGTAGGGGTGATGCTCCAGAGTGGGCGAGTTGACAAATATAGGGTGCTGACTGCGGTTGTAGGCCCAAACTCCATCGGGCTCTTTGCTGAGGAGGATGCCGTGGCCGATCTTGCCGCGGGTGCGCTGGACGGAAGTGGAGCGCGGAGAGAGGGGCAGCAGGCCCAAACATAGGCCTGTACCCTGAGGTAGGTCGTAGAAGATGCTGAGAGAGGCGTCGTGAACTGGGTACAGGCGGCCCACACGGGTGCGAAGCTCCCAGTAAGCCACATTACACCAGTGGTTCTGCGCCAGCGAGGAGGGAGACATACTGGCATCTGAAAGAGAGGTGGAAACGACATGTTAAGCATAAATTTAAAATAGAGAACACGAATCAAAATAAATAAAAATTGTAAAGCAGAATATTATTTTAAAATTCTGTATATTTAGTAAAAAAAATATCATTCTTGTTTTAATTTTCTTAATAAAATAATAATTTAGGGGCGTCACGGTTGCTTGATTGCTTCACATCAAGAAGGTTGCTTGTTTTTGAGTCCTGGCTAAGCCAGTTGGCATTTCAGTGTGGAGTTTGGATGTTCTCCCCGTGCTAGCGTGTGTTTCCTCAGGGTGCTCTGGTTTTCCCCACACTTCAAAAACATGCGCTATAGTTGAATTGGGTAAGCTAAATAGTCCGTTGTGTATAAATACAAGAGTGTATGGGTCTTTACCAATGTTGGGTTGTGGCTGGAAGGGTATCCGCTGTGTAAAACGTATGCTAGTTAAGTTGGTGGTTCATTCCACTGTGGCGACCCGTAATAAAGGGACTAAGCCGAAAAGAAAATGAATGAATGAATGAATGAATGAATATAATAATTTACAGCAAAGATTGTTTTGGCCTTGCATGGTCTAGCACCACAATATTTATCTGAGCTTTTAATCCCATACAATTGTAGATGCGCCTTATGCTCGTCTGATGCTGGTCTTTTAACTGCTCAGTCAACGCGGCTAAAATCTATGGGAGACCGGGCATTCTCTTCACTGGCACCTAAATTGTGCAATTCTTTACCCTGGAATTCTGATATTCGCAATGCTGAATCCCCTGAGTATTTTAAAATCATCTCTTAAAACGGAATTAATTGATTTAATTTGACTGTTATATGATTTTTCAAACTATTATTATTATTTTATGTGTTTTTAATCATTTTTATTGTTACTTTTCCTGCTGCAGGGGGGTGGGAGTGGGGGGTGAGGGGTGCTCAAGTTCAGGCTGATTAGTAAAAAACAACAAAAATAATTATGATAATAAAAGAATAAAAAGATAATGAAAAAAATATAATAATAAAAGACAATAAAATAATAATATTATCAAATAATTGTTATGGGCATCACAGTAGCGACGTGTGTAGCACGATCGCCTCACAGCAAGAAGGTTGCTGGTTCGAGCCCCGGCTGGGTCAGTTGGCATTTCTGTGTGGAGTTTGCATGTTCTCCCCATGTTCTTGTGGGTTTTCTCCGGGTGTTCTGGTTTCCCAAACAGTCTAAAGACATGCAGTATAGGTGAAATGAATAAGCTAAATTGACTGTAGTGTATGTGTGTGAAAGTAAGAGTGTATGGGTGTTTCCCAGAGTTGGGTTGCGGCTGAAAGGGCATCTGCTGTGTAAAAGCATATGCCGTATAAGTTGGCGGTTCATTCCGCTGTGGCGACCCCTGACTAATAAAGGGATTAATAAAAAAATTAATGAATGAACGAATTATCATAATTTTGTTATGATTATTTGAAGCTGATTAGTAAAAAAACAACAAAAATAATGATGATAACAATCATAATAGCAATAAAATAATAATATTATAAAATAATCGTAATTATAATAAGTTTGTGAATATTTTGTGTAATAATTTGTAATATTTGTAGCAATGTTTTCCTTTTATGTAAACTGTTCTCCATTACCATGAATTTTTCTTATTAAATAAAGCATTTAACTGAAGTATTTTATTTATCTGGCAGCGATCAGTAAAGGAATGTAAACATAATGTAAACTACATTAATAATGCTGGATAGCAATGTATGTTTAATAATCATGGATGTTTACATGTTTGCTACTTATTTACTGATAAAAAATAATAAACAAATAATTATTATTACTTTATTGTAAAACAATATCAGACTTCTTTGAGCTTCTGAAAGCCACAAGTGTCCCAGCGGAGTATTCCTCAGCATTAGCGCTCCACTAAAGTAACTGCGCTGTCATGACAAGTAATGTCAATGTTTTGACCACTCTCACATCAGCTCCGTCTCGTTCTCTCTGATGTTCCACAGAGCACATTCACTCCCTGAATCTACAATCCTATCAGGAGCGAACTGGAAACTGAAGAAGCAGCGACCCCCACTAACAGGCCCAAATCTGTCATCTCTGCCTCCAACACCCCCCGCTCCTGCCTCAGCATTCCTCTCTCTCTTCTGTCCCGCGCGGGGCCTACTGGGGCCCCGTCTCCCCCTCCGAGGGCCAGCATTCAGCTCTCTGACCACTCAGTGCAGGCTCGCGACCCCCTGACCCCCCAGCCGCCAGCCTATCCAGTCTGATTAACTCAAACACAGACTGATGGCATTATTTTGCTTCACAGGCTCTATTGAGGGAGAAGATCTAAAGCCCTGGGCCTGTGCCCCCATTCTGCTCAGTCTCAACCCTCTCTGGCCCAAACAGACAGCAGAGGACACACTGTTAATGAAGCAGCTTTGCCTCAAGGAGGGGTGCGGAAATACACAATCATTATCTCCCATTCTCCACTCGCTGACTTGGTATGTGCTTACAAAAATGATGTTTGAGAAAAAGAATGAGGAGGGTAGCAAGAGGGAAATGGTGTTTTCTTTGAGATTTGCATATATTTGTTTTCTTTCCGGATTTAGAAAAGTGGAAACAATGCACTAAATAAATCAAAATGGAAAAGGCAGCGAGAGGAATTTCATTTTTTCTTGGAGATTTGCATAAATTCCTTTCTTCTGGGATTTAGGAAAGGGGAAATAATGCACAAGATTAATCAAAGTCACCTGACAGACTCCAAACATTAAATCTGCCTTTCATATTGCCGCATTAGTGTTGACGTTTTCATATTTGACCTCGTTTAATCTCACGCTAAGGCTTGCACATCACTAAATTTGCTGCCTGGTTTAATTCTGTAAGCGACGCTATTGTGTTTCAGGAACTTTTTCCTCATATGCACAGTTGTTAGTGTCTGCGAAAGCATTCTTGGTGCTTGTGTGCCTAGCCTAAACCAACACCACAAAATGAGAGGGGGGGAGGAGAGGATGGAGTCTTGTCTGTCCCGCTGTGCCAAATATTAGATCTCCCTCCACATATTAGACCGTTCCACTGAGCCAGTGTGTGGTGGAGAAGCAGAGAGACGGGTGATAATGGAAGTGCCACGACGAGTAGTGCCAGAGAACTCCAGAAAACTTCCCGTATTTTCACGACTCAAGAACAGTAGCACAGTCTACATGTTCGGCTTCAACACCTACAGTTGAAGTCAGAATTATTAGCTCCCCTTTGAAATGTTTTTTCTTTTTTAAATATTTTCCAAATGATGTTTAACAGAGCAAGGGAATTTTCACAGTATGTCTGTTAATATTTTTTCTTCTGGAGAAAGTCTTATTTGTTTTATTTTGGCTAGAATGAAAGCAGTTATTAATAAAAAAAACATTTTAAGGTCAAAAGGGTTAGCCCCTTTAGGCTATATATTTTTTGATAGTCTACAGAACAAACCATCATTATACAATAACTTGCCTAATTACCCTAACCTGCCTAGTTAACCTAATTAACCTAATTGAGCCTTTAAATGTCACTTTAAGCTGTATAGAAGATTCCTGAAAATATCTAGTCAATTATTATTTACTGTCATCATGGCAAAGATAATATAAATCAGTTATTAGAAATGAGTTATTAAAATGATTATGATTAGAAATGTGTTGAAAAAAATCCTCTCTCCTTTAAACAGAAATTGGGGAAAAAATAAACAGAATGGCTAATAATTCAGTGAGGTTAATAATTCTGACTTCAATTGTATCCTTCTGAGCATCTAACACTGATGCTAAAACTCTAAAAAGAATAGTTTCTTAAAAAATGAAAATTCTGTAATTATTCCATCACCATGTTGTTGTTTTAAAACCTGCACTAAGTTCTGAGAAGTTGCTGATTACACATAATCTGGATTATGAAATGTGTTTTAAAGAATGTAGCACTTTGAGATAGATCACAATTAAAATGTGATTACTTTTATAGATTACAATAATTGCAAATGATTGATAATTACTAATATATGATAAATTGAAGCAGTAAATGATTCATAATTTGATTCTCCATAATTTTTTTCTTTTAAAAGTCCCCCTGTAAATAATTGTACTATTTGTCATGCTGTTTATCTTTAAATATCTCACAAATTCAGTACATTTAAAGTTAGGTCAAACATGCTCGAAAGGTAATCCAAAAGTACTCTTTGTAGGAATCAAGATAATGTTGACTAAAATGTTGTTCAAACTGACCATTTTCACATTTCTTAGTAGCGGAAGTCGTCATAGTTAAAAAACTTTAAGCAAAGTAAATTGGAGAATACAACAATTTTTTTCAGTCTTATTTGTTCAAATAATAAAATAAAAACTCCAAGATTATGTAATAAAGACTTTCTGAAAAAGGAAAATAATTGTGTGAGACTGGCGACAGCAGACAGAGGAGAGAATAATGTCAAATTTACTGTTCTGTCCCATAGACATAGCATTAGAAAAGCCTCACACAAGTGTGCGTGTGTTATGACCCTTAAACGCTTCATAACAGTCTTGTGAAAAGGGTTTATTATTTTTAAAAGAGCATCTACCCAGTTCATTCCTTTCTTTTGTAGAACACAAAATAAGACAGTTCTAACCTACAGTGAAAGTCAATGGTGTATGATTTCATCCTGGTTAACATATACTTTAATTGCAGACCGAAAAACTCCCTTAAAATATCAGTGCTTTGTGTTATCAAGAAAAAAGAGACTATAATGACGGTCTGTAATGACATGGGCGAGTAAATGATAACAGAATTTTCATTTTCACTTTCCATTTATTCTATATAATACATGGCAGTCCTTGCCATGAACAAATACTTAAACTGTGGAACATATCTATAGAAGTATCTTTCTTTTGCAAGTCATTTTTGTCGCTCATTCCTCAGGATAATCAATCTGCGGTAACCGAACTGACTGCATATTGATCCCTATCTAAGATGAAGCTAACTGCTTTTGTCAGGATGAGAAAGCAAAATGATTTCTCCATGTCACAATACTGAGACACTGAGAAAAATATGCAGACAAACACACAAAACACAATTACAATAAATCAGCCAGAAATGTAACCAGATCTAAAAAGATGCATGTCCCTTAAAAACAGGGGCAAATCATTTTCCAACAATTGATAGAGTCGTTCTTTGTCAACATCTGTAAAGAATCTCTGCAGAGACAGGCAGGATTTCATTAGTTAAATTGCGTGTTGGCCTGCGCTCTGTCAGGAAGAGGGGAAGCCACAGCGAGGCCTGTAATTTAAACCTTATTTTAAAATGCGACTGGCTGGCTGTGCCAGGGCTTGCATTGCAAAACTCAGCAGGAAGCAACAACATGAAAATAATGGAGGAAAGATTGTATGCGACACACCAAAAGAGGATCTTTTGGTGTGTCTTCAGAGTTCTATATGCTCTGTAGCAATCAGCACACAGCAGATAAGAGCTCAGGAGGCCCCGAGTCCCCCGTCAACGTCCTGACAAAACTGCCCATTGTTGACCATAATCTAATTTTGACTCAGTGCTGAAAGTTGATGGATGACGTCTAAGAAGTTTTGGCTATTTGCATACAGCACATCTAGATAGTATATCCACAATGGAAAGTCAAGATTTATCCTAATGAAACTTTGGAAGGAAAAGTATTCATAACACTAAGAATATCTTCAAACTCAGATTTAATTAAATAAACTAAAAACCATATGGCTGCATAATTATACCTGAGAAAACAAGATAGAGTTCTGCGCTTAGACAACGTAGTATTAAGTTAACATGTAAATTATGCACAGAGACTTTAATTTGGAGGTTTGTATGAGTGCATGGCTTAGCTGACCAGTCATAACAAATAAATGTTACAAGTTAACCTAATTAGTAGCTCTGAACATAGCAAATTGCAAAAGAAAGCTTAGGTTTATTCATTTGAAACAGAAATCCATTGCAACATTCTAAAAAGACAGTAACAAACTTCTGAAATGTAGCATAATTGTATGCCATATTCAATATCAAGCAGACAATCTGAGCAGTTGTTTAGACTGTTCCCATTTTAAATGTATTAATTGATGGAGACTTGCACACCAACCTGAATAGTCCTGGGACAGGCCGCCAGCGGATCGAGTGGCTTCGGTTTCTACGTAAGGCAGCATTGGAAGGGAAGAATCTGCAAAGAGGCAAAAAAGTCAATCATTTCACTCCTGCTGAACATAATTGAATTAGGTTAAGAAATACTAACTTAAACTACTTACTCAGTGGCTTGTGTTCTGGTAAGGGGGAGAGATGAGAATAAGGAGGTGGTGGTGTATCTGAAAATAGGGATAACAGAGTTAAAGGTTTTCTTCGTTTGAGCATCCCTCGAAAAACAAAGACATTTCAGACCATTCAAGGTCAAAACCTAAAGTTTTAAAACTGCATGAACATTTGGAAGAGTTTTCCCAGCGTTTTGAAAGCAAATCAGAATGTTTCAGCAAACCAGTATTCCCAGCTGGTATGGAAATTACAGGTGAAGAAGCGCATCCATCAAAAAGACAATGGATGTGTCATCAAGTGCCAAGAATGCATGGAATCCAATTAAAAGTGACCTGTTCTGTTGAGTCTCATCATTACTGAGGGTGGAAACACTACACTTTCTGCTGAAGCAGTGGATTGAAACTTCAAGGAAAAAATTTAGAGTTAGTTTTGAAAATATGAATTATGTTAATATTAACATATCGCTGATAATCAATTGATAATTATAATGACGTTGTGTGTGCCCATGTAGGACTACAGCACAAGTCGTACCACAGCTTTTTTTGGTGTATGCTTGTGGCAAAAACTTGAATGTTACATTTTTTTTCAGAGAATTCTGTCTTGACCCTCTTAAAAGACAATTATTTAAACAATTCCATTCCAAGCATGCAACCGACCATATATACACACTGTTAGGGTAGTGCTTTATGAACAGGGAGGGAACAGAGAAATTGAGAATCCCAGAGGGATTCTAGTTGGGAATTCCACTTCCTGAACAGGAGTATCACTGTCCAACTTCCCTCCCTATCATTCACCCATGCTTCAAGTAAAAAAAAATCACTTTTTTAATTATAAAAAGTACGTCACACTGTGTTGCCTGATTTAATGATACAGAAAACATTTACACAGGCCTAAGATGGTTTGCTGATCTTAAATGTTTTTTTAAGACTATCTGAGTAAACTTTTGTAAAGTGCTCAAAGCATCCACAAACCAGCCTTCAGGCTATAGGCTGGAAGATTAAGATAAGTATACAAAAGCAGATATTTGTCTAGATGTGTTGACAATTCTAATTCATAGCAATGCAAGAAAATCATTAAAGCCTTCACAAAAGCCATTCAGAGGGTTTGCGTACCATCCTTTACTGGTCCACAGAGGCGGCTGTAATGATGGGGGTTGCAGCAGAGGGTCTGGCTGTCCTCTGCCCTGAAGCTCTGACAATGACAGAGTGGTTTGAGGAGAGAGGATAATCGTAGGTCTGGCCAGCGGAAAAGTCGACACAGCAGGTACTGTGGAGACACTAGATGACCCCCGATTCGCACCTCAGTCTGCGATACCAGAACACATCCACTTGGCATCCCGCCTTGAGACTCAACAGCTTCCAGTAAAACATCCAGAGACTTGTCTTTCAACTTTTTAAGAAAGGCATAAGTGCACTTCTTGAGTTCTTGCTCGGTCACGGCACCAGTTTTCCGTTCCCTGCCACTCAAACTGCTATAGTTGTTGTGGTTCCTATGTTCCACACGGCAAGCGAGTCTGTTTTTGCTTCTGGGGAGGTCTTTAAACAAACAGCATGTCACCGTCCTGCCTTCGCTCCCATCGTTGAGAGGTCCATCGTGTTCAATAAGGACCCCCGGTTCCCCGCGCTCCTCTACGCGTCTGCCGCACGAGCCCGCGTTGTTTCCCGGTGCGTATTCCGTTCTGGGGATCTTCTCTGGGTTGCTGTCACTCCAGTCATCCGGACCTCCATCGCCCCCCTCTTTACCTGCGGTGACTAAACGGCTTCTCCAGAGTCGCCGAACCAGACCCGTGCGTCTCGTCCTGAACATACGACAGTTTAAACAGTTTGCATCCGTTTTTCCTATGTTTGGTCAGAACCGCGGAGACTCCAAACGCTCGTGCGCTCGCTGTCCGACATCAATGATCTGTGCTCACATGCACAGCCGAGCAGAGCCTGCGCGAAGCCCAACATTAGACTCCGCTGCTACAATATATCAACACTGTAGCAAAGGGCTTGATGTAATAATGATAGTGCACTACGTGTGGAGCGTTGCATCCAGTCTGTAAACATGCCCCGTAAACATGTGAAACTTTACTCTCCTCGAAATGCACGGTATGCAGAAAAAAAATCTTCGATAGCGTCCGTAACGGATCCCCGTTTTCAAGCAAACCTTCTGCAGCGGGTTAATGACGCCGAGCACATGAATGGAGCTCACTATAATCCCCGTTCACGTTCCGCGCGCTCCTGGCGGATGAAAATGCTTACGTTGCGACGGCAAAGTGGTCGTTCTAGGCGGATAGACGGACATATGTTGTCTTGAGGTTTCGTTCCGTGTTTCGGGTGAGATTAATAGAATTCTTCGATGGCTTCTTTCGCCGTTTCACTCTCTTTCTTCTTCAGATACACACACACGGGGCCCCTGAGGAGAGCAGTGGAGCCATTGGTTGATTCCCATCATGTGCTCGTCTAGACACTTTGGCGGCTGCGAGCCGCGCTGATTGTTGCGCAAACACAGTATCAAGTTTCCGAACTCTTAAAGGAGCAACATGTACCTCTGTGTGCGTGCTGTGCCAGCGACACTACACCAAAATGTTACCGCTGCGATGATTGTGATTATGCACCAAACGCACTGTTACACAGCAACAGTTTTTTTTTTCTCAGATTACCCCTATTGTGCATGTAAAACATATTACCATAATTACAAATTTCACTATAACTAGTATGACAAAAAGTAATTTTAGGTCATTATTATTGTTAAAATCATCATTATGATAATGATAATTATCATAGTTAGTTTTTTAAAGCCAGTATTCATTATTATCATTCTTATAATTTATTATAAGAATGATAATAATGTCTCATACATTATTATTAACAATTGTATTTATTACTTTTCAATATATTGATAACTGTTAAGTTATTATTAAATAATAATTATTAAGTACTTCAATTGATAATTAGTTAGAATAATTTAAAACTTATAAATAGATCAAATATGGATGACATATATGTATTTTATTATATTTATTGTTAGACATAAATGACATTTCTTTGTAAAGCTATTTGTAATGATACTACTGGCTTTCAATTGTTGCTAAAGGTTTTTTTTTAGATGACTGTCTACTTAACTATAATTTATGTGTGATTAAATTGCAAGTAAATCAGTTTAAAATAACTGATTCATATGAATGTTTTACAAGATGTAATTTATTCCTGTGATTTAAAGTTGAAATTATAGTATCATCACTTCAGCCTTCAGTGTCATCCTTAGATCCTTCTAAAATACTGATTTGCAGCAATATTATTATCAATTACTGGTGGTGAATCATTAATATTGGCTCTGATTAGGGAAAACCTGTACTCTGCTTTATTATACTTTTCATGATAATTTGATGAACAGAAAGTTGATATAACATTTGTCACTTTGAATTATTTTAACGGTTATATGAATAAAAACGTAAGAAAACATGTATTAATGGCACATTAAGTGCTTATAAAATATAAAAAGCAGTGCAATGTTTTTAAATTTTAACACTCACAATGATCAGGAACGTTTTTGCAGAAATCTGTAAAATATTAGTAATCCTGCACTAATCCAGCTTCAAAATTAAAAGTCTGGCCAAATGTTATAACTCACATGATATTTCTTAATATGCAATGATCTTAATTCAGTTCTACGTTTGTAAATGATGTAGCACACAACAAGCAACTGAGACTGGTGAAAATCTTGCCACTGTTATGTGAACCGTTACAAACTGTCAACATCCAGCATTGGCTGTTTAGTGTTCTTACACTCCCACTTCAGTGGCAGAATCCTTGGGCTTTCTCCCTTCACTTATCAGAGCGGATGATAACTGCTGTAGCCTGGCGTCAGGCTAATAATTGCCGCTACTCCCATTAAGTCTCTTAGATAATCTATCAGCAGAAGTCTGGAGCAGAGACAGAAAGACCAGCACCAAACCACCACCCAAAATAACTCCAGTCCATCCCGTCCGGACAGACATGGTCCTGTTGATGGGGTCTAGCAAGACCCAACAGGAATAGCATGTCAACAAGCCCCTTATTCCTAATGGACCCTAGGGAAAGAGGCGCGACAGAGGGAGACAAAAAGGAGGACACTTACATGCCCTTAAGGCTGTTCCTTAAGGCCCAAACTGGATGGCGCTAATACCATGAATACTGATGAAATGAACTGGAGACACAAACAAAACAGAGTAGGTTCAGTACACAAGTACAACAAATGCAAGCAGAGATCTGTTGAGCTGAATTAAGTTGAAGAAAATATTTCCAAATCAATTGAACCCTTTAACTTCCCCACCAAGAAAAAATTTTTGGATTGCATTTCTTAACTCCTAATGTAGCTTGTTAACACACTCAGTGCAACACATCCCATAATTTCTAAAATATTAGCATCTATGGTTGATATGTCGGCTTATGGCAAAAGTACCAGAATTAATACATATACTATGAAAATCATACAAATTGTGAAGTGTAAGACCAATTTATATAAAAAACACCCAAAATAAAACATTTTGAACACAAAATCATCTTTATCTTTTGAAGTATGCCATAAAATATTTCAGATTCTCATTTAACATGCTTTCTTGTTTTTTTTTTTGTTTTTTTTACAATAAAACCAAAATCAATTGTAGAAGAAGTGCAACAGGATTATGTTTGTTTGATTTTTCTGTAAACCAACAATGCTGTGTGTGTGTGCAAACCATTATTTAAAACAGTCATTCTTTAAATGACTTTAACAGTCATTATTTAAAACATGGTCAACCCTTTGGTAGAGTGTTTTAGCTGCATTTAATATATTGTGATAATGAGCATGCACAATATTGATATTGTGTGCACGTCAAAATATAGTGGTTAAATATTTATTATTTAAACTTTTAGAGCACTTTTAGAATTCAGTGTATTTGCAGTGGTGTTCATATCAACCCTAAATGATTTTAAACTTGGTTAGCAGAATAGTTCAAGCATAAACATTTTTGCTTAATCTGCAATTACATGCTGAAATACAGATTGAAAATTGTATGACCATTTATATACAGCAAAAGGCTACAATAGATAGCACTAGTTAATTTAACTAAACTCACAATGAAAACTACAAGAGCATTTATTAATAGGTCATTTCTGACTAATAGCTAGGGCCAGAAAGTATCTGTGGACTTTTTTTTGCTAATTCTGCGCAGAATTTTGTAAAAAATCTGCAGATTTATGTGGAATGATTCATGGGAGTATCATAACTAAAAACGTAATACATGAAATACAAAAGAATAGCTTTTTAACTTTTATTTCATGTTTACAATGCAAATCCAACTAAATCCACTTATTTGGTAAATAAAGAAAGTCTCATATAATATTATATGTACTAAAAGACAGAAAATATTACTGTACAAATTGTATTTTAAATAAATCATATGAACATTTTCAGATTAGTCAATAATATTATATATTAATTTCAAAACTAGACAAATATAAATTTACACACATTTACACAAGTAAATAGACTCAATGAGGGGCTAAAATGTGCAAATCTGTGGATTCTGTGCACACAAATTCCATGCAGGGTTACTAATAACATGTTCAAATTATAGTCATAATCTGGCTAAATAATTGTGTTAAATAGAGTTAATAGCCAATAAAATTCAGCACCTTTAAACAAATTTAAACTAACTGTAATAAATCTGGCTTTTTCTCACTGTTGATTTTGATCCATGACATTAATTAAGAAAACTTTATTGTAATGTGTTATCTTGTCTTCTTACAATTTAATTTGGTTAAGATATTTGTTTACTTTAAACAAATATATAATAAAGCATTGCACTAAAGAAATCTTTTAATATTCAACCTGTTAAAGTAATCTTTTTTTTGCAGGTTAGGGCAATATCTTGATAATACTGTATACTATAACATAAAGCTTCTGCAATCAATTGCAACAAGTGAATTAGATATTGCCATATGCCTATTGTAAAGAACTGATTCATGACTGCTGGTGTGGTCTTTGGTAGCAGGAAGTCATAGCCACAGACAGACATTAGCAGTGAAATCTGTCTCCTGTGGAAGGTTCTGGCAGTCAAAACAGAGTTTCGGCAAGGAAAACCTCATTTATGGTGAAGACAAGAAGACAGCCAGAGACTTAAATGAATGTCTGCTGTGTAAATGTGACAGATGCTTCTACGTGGCAGGAGTGTGTGCATATTACACTATTGGATATCCCTACAATTTGAAGCACAATATGAAATTCTCTTTGCTTCTCTTCTGAAAACTGTAAAATAATTGCTTTAACATAAACGTCCATAATTTTTCTGTTCTTTTTGCTGTCCTTCTATTTCAATACAGCCATTTATATGCTTTTGATTAGGAGTGTTTAGACTATCAGATTTCCTCTAGTAAGAAATATAGCAATATCTTATGAGCAAGAGTCTGCTATGACCATATATCATCATAATCAATGACAACTTCAGCTGTACTGAGAAATCACAGATGGAAGAATAAGTGATTTTATGTCAACTGCTTTAGTGACGCATGTGTTGTGAGACAGCGTTTTATTTTGCTCAGATAGCAAAAAATGCACTAAAGAAAGCCACAACAAAATTTTACATTCTTCAGTATATCTTCCTTTGTGCTCAACTTAATAAAAAACAGGTTTGGAAAAAAATGAAGGATAAGTAAATCATGGCAGAATTGTGTTTTTGGGGGAACTGTCACTTTAAAGGAAGCTTCTTTCCACCACTGGAATAAATCATTTTAAAAAGGTTATTGTGACTTTTTAATCTCATAATTCAGATTTTTTTTGTATGTTTTTGTAATTGTGTTTATATGTTGCAATTTGGACATTTATTCGTTACATGCTACAAACTTGCCTTTGCTCATTTTCAAGACAAAATTGGCAGACACAAACTCAATTCTAATTTTATTTTTCTAATCACAATTCTTTCCTCTGAATTTTAAGATATTTATACTCAGTCTGATTTTGAGAAAGAAACAAGATTTTTTTTCTTACTACCACAAGTTTATACTTCATTTTTTCACACAAAAGTCAGAATTGTGGCATAAAAAAGTCTGGTCAATGACACGACAGTGGCTTCCATAAGTACTTGCTTTTCTACTGAATGAATCAGAGTAAATTAATAAAATAGTTTTGTAAATGATTCACTGTTAAAAAAATGCAGGGTTCCACACAACTCATTCATGTTGTTCCAACACAAATCGATTAAGTTATCTTAACACTTTTACCAAATTTATGTGAACTGAACATAAAAAATTAAGTTGCCCCAATAAAATCGAAGAATTGTGTTGATTTAGATCATTTTAAATAAGTAGCTTAAAAATATTTTTGAGTACTTAAATGGCTCTTCTAAGGAATTAGGTTAACTTATAAATTTGTTTAAATTTAAATGGATTAAACAAAAAAATGAAC